ACTGGGACAATCACTACGCGAATCCTCCTTTTTTTATACAAAGAAATTGAATCCCCCCCCAAAGCTCCTTCTCTCTCACGCTTCGCATACTGCGGCAGTAATGGGTTAAAGGCACCATTGACTATTCCAACCTCAGCCTTCCGAAATCAGGTCGGTTTTTTACCCACTTTTTCCTACGAGGGCAGATTTGGCTGAAAATTCGCCTGCTGGGGTAGATCGACATCCTGAACACGAATATCACATTTGCTTGGGCCAAAACCGCCTTTCCCTCGCGCCGGCGGCAAAACATCCTAAACCACCAAAGTCGATAAAAACTTATAAACGAGGGTTGTTTGAGACCTTGATTTCGAATATGGTATTCAATTCCTGGCGCCGGCGCTAATTAGGACACTATGACCATCTGCGTTATACTGAGGATGAGCCTGGCCTGAAAGGAATCAGTTCCAATCAGTCCCTCTCCCAGGTTCGGCGTCAGTAGAAGGCTAAACGGCGCTAGTGTCGAGATATTACGCAAGTTTTTATCGATTTTGGGGAAGAATGGTGAGGCGCCAAGTGGCGCCAGCGTCAAAAGTAAATACCATATTTGTGATCAGGATGCCAATTGAGCCCCGTATAGAGTATACATCAGATTTGGTGAGAAACGTGGTGGCGTCATGTACGCCTACTGGCGCCAAATGGCGCCAGCGCTGAAAATGAATATCATATTCATGATCAGGACATCGTATAACATCTATAGGCAGAGATTTACCGAAAACTTTTTTTTAGCTTTTGGGATAGGAACAGTTCAATAGTGCATGGGTAAAAAGCTCAAAATGTTGAAATACGGAGGCCCTTACTGCTGACTTTACCGTTGGAGATCACGTTTCCACAATGTTAGGGGCTAACTGCACGAGATGTGGCCTATACAATGAATCGCAGGGCCAGCCGGTGTACAGGTAAGTGTTTTTTACCCTTCAGAAGGATTCTGATACCATTTCAAGGTCCCCAGAGAATAAAAGGTCTCGTTGGCCTGGACCGGAGACAATACGAGATCCGTTCGCTGAATCGTGAGCGAAGTAAATGGGCCACCTGCCACTACACCACCACCGACTCAAGCTATTATTATAAAACAAAAACAGATGTAATTACAAAAAGGAACCTTTTTACGCCTCCACTCGTCAATTTTTTCCTCAACAACCTGCTTCTCTTCCCAATGATCATCCCAGCCTCCATGAGCAACGGCGGTTGGGTATGGATCTTCCGGAGCGGTTTGTCGAACGACAACTGAAATAAATAGTATAAAAGTAGTATCTTCTGGTTGAATAACTAGTGACGGTCAAATAAAGTGGGGCATTTGGTGCAACAGTGGGTCAGACTACGGCAATCGCAATTTAGTATAAGGGCTTCTTCAAACGTTGAGTTCCTATTTCACGTCAATTCCTCGCACCCTTCTGTGTTAAGCAACATTCAAACCGAGAGAGCGAAAGCGACGAAATCATTGCGAGCCGGGGAATAAAGATGTTTGGATAAGGCTAAAGGAAGTACAGCTGCGAAAAAAAAAACTTGGAACAAGCGGAAAAAATCGGAATTTTCTATCAAATTATTTCGATTTTCCTTGACTTGTGTACCGAAATATCGTGGATATAGGTAAAGTAAGCCAGGAAGGTCTGCTTCCAAATCAGTAAAAACGACCCTAAGCAAACACAAAAGTACGCGAGATCTAGGTTCTGGCACCCAAGGTCACCCAAGATGACAAAATGACCGAGTAAAAGCCTTCACCTCAACCCCATCAGGCACCTTTGAGATGACTTGAAGAATGAGTCCAAAGGAAAGAAGACCACCAACACGAGTGAGCAGTTCCATACAATTTGAGGAATTTGGATGCGAATCTCTATGGATACCCTGAAGCTCCTGTGCAGCCGATTCCATGGATGATAAAGGCTCACATCAAGCCTAATAGTAAGCAAACCAATATCAAAGCGCTGAATAGTTCTTGCTTGCTGAATTAACCTATCTGCTTATTTTTTCACTGTTCTGCTGTAGAATAAGAGCTTCCGAACTGTTTGAAACGCGATTTTGTGGCTTGTTCTGAGCTTTTTTTCGCAAATGTAGCTTTGGGTGGGTGAAAGTGCTTCACCGAGTTGTCAAGAGGCCAGAACAAAATCAGAACAGCAGTGGGATCAATCACCAGAGTGGAGTACCCAATTCTACTTCTCGAAATCGTAAGTAGCCTTCTTTTTCAGGTCTTCGTAGAAAACTCTATGATGTGCGCTGTTTTCCAAGTTCCAGCTGACACATCACCAGTATTAACGCTGATGGATGTTCTTCTAGTTCACTACACCGGGTTATTTTGTAAAGCACTTTGAGTATACCTGGAGAGTTTGTGAGGTTATATAAAGTCCTGCAGAGATTCCGTGGGAGGTAAGCCAAGTGTTATGAGCAGCGAATACCACGCTTCGTATAAATAAGCTAGCTAACCCTCCCAGAACTTCTTTCCAGCTTCAGGCGTGTATGGAAAATTCTCATTCCCAGGCTCTCTATGACGCGTTCCAGCAGAATGTCGTCCAGCAGAACAAGAAAACAGAAAAAGAAAATAGAAAACTCCCAGAAATGGTAAGGTCGACAGGCCTTTATAGTACTGCACCGAAATTTAACTGGGTTACAAGGCATCTGTCAACCGGACGTTCTCTCGCTGTGACGGCCCAGAGGTGTTTTCTCATCGCATCTTGTGGTCCAGCATCTGGGGAAGCGAAATAAGGAAGGAAGATGACAGAAGGAAGAATGGAAGAAAAAGAAGAGAGGAGGAAGGAAAAATGAGGGAGAAGAAGGCTTTGCGGTTGACCGATATTCTGAGGACAAGCGTTTTCAGTGACTAATCACTAAAAAGCTGACGCTAAATCGATACCTATATTTTACTAGTTGCTCAGATCGCTGTATCGCTGTATTGTATTTGCGTCGCTCGAAATGCTCAAAACACTAACGCCAAGTATGAAGGCG